AAAATGATAATATTATTGATGAAAGTAGTTGTTTAATTTTTGCCAATGAATGTTTACAAGAATTGTACAATAAAAAGGAACATTATCGACGCGAATTAAATGTCAAGACCACTCGTTTATCTGGTTATAACTGTAACATGGAATATACTATTGAAAAATTTGTACAACAAGGACTTCAATCTTTACATATTGAAATCAATGAACATATTGCCACGGTTCAATATCATTATACCAATATAATATTTCAACAAACTTATTTTGCTCAAAATCCTAATATAAATCAAGTAAACTTCTTTTATATCGAGCTTATTTTATCTTACTATTTTAGATACAATCTTCGCTCTTAATCATATAAAAAAAGAAATTAGATAGGAAAAACAAAAACTTTTTTTCATTCATATCCTTCTCTCTTTCAGATAGAATCTTGACGCAAAAAACAAAAATATAATCGGTATAAAATACGAAAGAATAGCAAAAATTCAAAATATTTTCTACTGCATATGGATTTCAATACAATTGATTTAACTCGAGCAGAAAAAGCTACTTCTTTGTTAATTAATAATGAACAACAAGAATATCAATCAAGAACATTATTAGATAAAAATAATGGACGATATGCTTATTTACCTATATTTCCAACACAATATGTTGGTCCAAATGAGTGTTTACTTTTGGCTACCCATGTAGCCGATAATGGATAAATAATGGAAAATTATCCATTATTTTCCATTATTTTGTGAAGTAACGCATTGCAATTAATTATTTTCGAGCTTTCTGCGAATTTTCTTACAAAAAATGTTGAAATTTGTGATAATGCATTGACAATCAATGAATTTCAATGAATTATTTTATATAATGTTGAAATTTCTGATAATGCATTGGCAATCAATGCATTTCAATGAATTATTTTAAATAATCTTCAAATATGGAATAATTCATTGACTGACAATGCATTTCAATGAATTATTTTAAATAATCTTCAAATATGGAATAATTCATTGACTGACAATGCATTTCAATGAATTATTTTACATAATGCTGAAATTTCTGATAATGCATTGGCAATCAATGCATTTCAATGAATTATTTTATATAATGTTGAAATTTCTGATAATGCATTGGCAATCAATGAATTTCAATGAATTATTTTACATAATGTTGAAATATCCCATGTACCCGATAATGGATAAATAATGCAATACTGACACATTATTTTCCATTATTTCGTAAAATGCATCAAATAATTAATGACAATGCATTATTTTTCATAGCTTCAATGCATTTTTTAGGAATAATGTTCTAATGCCCGAAAATGGATTGAAAATCAATGTATTTTCAGAAACAATGCCTCAATGTTTGATAATTCAGTAAAATTTCAATGCATTGTCACGTATTATCGAAAATAGTGTGCAAATGACCGATAATGCATTGAAAATTAATGCATTATTATACATCATTAGAAGCAATGCTTAAATGTTTGGTAATGCCGTAAAACCTCTTTGTAGTTTCGGAGAACATGTCCAGATGTTACATAATTCAGTAAGACTTTAATGGATTCTGATTCATAACTTAGAATGTTGATCTATAAACTTCATTACTGCATTATTCACGGAAAGGAGATTATAATAAGATCGTTCGCAAATTCAAAAATAAGATGTCACAAAGCTTAACACAGGCTGTCGACCATTAACCAATTGGTGTTCAAAGACAAGTTTAGTTTTATCGTGTATGTATAACACGTTTGTTGTTGCAGGCGTGAGGCATATAAATATATATGAGCACGGAAATAAAAGGAACTATTCAGAAGCTGGTAGAAAACCAAAGACTCCCTGGAAAGTACTAGAGAGAACATTCATGATCTATGCAGAAAGACTAAGAAAACAGATGTAGATGACCATTCTAGAAAAGGAACATATGCATTCACGCATGACAACAGAATGCAAGAAGATGAAGATGGAAAGTACATACGATGACGTTACAACAATGATACAAAAAAATATGACATATACAGGCCATGACACCACTTAACCTCTTTCTATGTATCACACCTTTTTAACGAACATTCTTCCAAGTGCAGTTATAAACGTATAGATCTAATGGCTTACGAGGGAAGGTCTTCAAGTGTGACGCGCCGTTTTGAATCGGATCTATACTAGTTTGTAGAGCTCGATGAGACTAGACGAAGCCTAAAAGGGTTCGTCCCCATACGCTGTTCTTCTCGAGTTATGATCGTTTTACTGGATTTTCGACCTTTGGCAAAGCATATATGAGGAAATTGAATTACAGGATTCTGATCTGAAATTTTGTCTACAGATAGGTCGCATGGTCCTTAGAATGTTCTAAAAAATTCAGCCCAAAAGAATGTTCTCTTCTTGAGATATTGGTATCCAAGAAACGATCATGTGTCGCAAGAAAATATTAGAAACGCGAGTATTTTCAACAGTCAATATCTCAAGAAGAGAATATTCTTTTGAGCTGAATTTCTTAGGACCTTCTAAGGACCACAAGGCCTATCTGTGGAGAAAATATCAGATCAAAATCTTGTAATTCAATTTTCCCATACATGCTTTGCCAGCAATCGAAAATCCAGTAAAACGATCATAACTCGAGAAGGACATCGTATAGGGACGAACCCTTTTAGGCTTCGTCTAGTCTCATCGAGCTCTACAAACTAGTATGGATCCGATTCAAAACGGCGCGTCACATTTGGAGACCTTCCCTCGTTAGTAATAAAGGATACGTGTAAGTTTCAAGTGACAGAGAAAAAGAGAAAGTCTCGTGCTTCATCACACTTTGGGAATGCGTCGAAGTTATCCTCGCGAACTGTTTAACGATTTGAAGTTTACCATGACAAAACTTGCTTCAATTAGTTTGAATTAATTCTATGTTCATCTATCACACAATAATGCTCAGATACTTCATTGTACTTCGCCAACATTCTACTTTGAACCACAATGAACTTCTCGAGCTTTACCGAGGGGCAGACTTATCAAGAATTAATTTAAGCTAGTATGTTCGTGATCCACACGAATCAAAGACTACAAATAGCTAGGACATTCTCCAGAATAACTTTGACCCATGCCTTAAATACAATCCAATAGCAAAGCCTTTGTTTTTTCGTTCTTCACATAAAGTCATAGCATGTGATCAAACGGAAATCAATATCAAGCTACAATCAAAGAGGTACAATCATAAGAATGTAGCTGTACAGGGCTAGGGGTATATGATTAATGGTGTGGGAGTAAGGGTCTAGGGTAAGAGTATAGGATTATGGGTATAGACATGAGAATATAAGGTTAAGGATATAGGTGTAGGGTGTAGGCATAAGCGTATAGGGTTAAAAGCATAGGGTGAAGCGTATAGACGTAAGGATATAGAATTAAGTGTATAGGTATAAGGATAAAGGGTTAAGGGTATAGGGATAAGGATAAGGATATAGGAATAAGGATATAGGGTGAATGGTATAGGATTAAGGGTATAGGATTAAGGGTACAGGAGTAAGGGAATAGGAGTAAGAGTATAGGAGTAAGAGTATAGGAGTAAGGGAATAGGATTAAGCGTATAGGAGTAAGGGTATAGGATTAAGGGTATAGTAGTAAGGGTAGAGGAGTAAGGGTATAGGATTAAGGGTATAGTCAAGGGGGAAACAGCAGAGACTTCAGTCGTGAAGTCCCATGAAATCTTGAAAGTCTTTCGAAGCCTTCTGAAGTCTCTTTGAAGTCTTATGAATTCTCATGAATTCTCATAAAGTCTCTTGAACTCTCTGAAGTCTCATAAAATCTTCTGAAGTCTCATAAAGTCTTATGAAGTCTCATAAAGTCTTATGAAGTCTCATGAAGTCTCATGAAGTCTAATGAAGTCTCATGAAGTCTCTTGAAGTCTCTTGAATTCTAATGAAGTCTCATGAAGTCTTATGAAGTCTCATGAAGTCTCTTGAAGTCTCTTGAATTCTAATGAAGTCTCTTGAAGTCTCTTGAAGTCTCATGAAGTCTCTTGAAGTCTTTTGAAGTCTTTTGAAGTCTCATGAATTCTTATGGAAGTTTTGAAATACATTTAGTGCATGAAAATTCATAAAAAAGCAATGAAATTGTCTTGTTTTCGACGGTCTTATTTTAGCAGAGAGGTGAACTTTTTATTGTTTGTTTGTCAAGGTACTGGAAAAAAATTCAAGTTTATTGGATCTTAGAAAACATGATAGTTAAGAACTGAATGCTTTTTGAATGAAGTGGTTTATTTTTATAAGAAATGTTTCATTTATTCGATGTCAATCTTATGAAGAATTTTATTCCTTTTTGTTTATTTCTATCACTCCTGATAATCTATCAACCGATAAACGGCTAGCTTCGTCGGTCAATAACCAACAAGTCGTTTGCTTGTGTATAAATTTAGTCTTGTTATTTATTTGCACCTGAGAATAGGAGTTTTCCAATGCTGGATTAATCGAATCAAACATACGCATACCAGTAAAGTTTATTTTCTCTGTTTTAATTTCATCAACGCTTTGTGTCATTGTCACATCTTTATTCTAGATATAGACATACTGCGAGAAACAATTCTCAGAAACAAGAAACACTTTTGTAATCTCGATATGATAAGTTTTGTTTTTTGCATGTTATAGAAGTTTCATGTAATTTCTATAAGGTTTTTTGATACGCATGGAATCTGCCTCTTGAAGTCCTGTGAAGTCTTGTGAAGTCTCATGAAGTCTAATGAAGTCTCTTGAAGTCTCATGAAGTCTCTTGAAGTCTCATGAAGTCTCTTGAAGTCTCTTGAATTCTAATGAAGTCTCATGAAGTCTCTTGAAGTCTCTTGAAGTCTTGTGAAGTCTTATGAAGTCTTATGAAGTCTTATAAAGTCTCAAGAAGTCCTACAAAGTCTCTGAAGTCTCATGAAATCCATGAAGTCTCATGAAGTCCGTGAAGTCTCACGAAGTCTGTGAAGTCTAACGAAGTCTTTTGAAGTTCCATGAAATCTCATGAAGTCTCATGAAGTCATACGAAGTCTTATAAAGTCTTTTGAAGTCATTTGGAGTCCTATGAAGTCTTCAGAACTCTTTAGAACTCTTTTGAAGTCTTGTGAAAATATGAAGTCACTGCAGTTGAAGTCTGTTGAAGTCTGTTGAAGTCTTTTGAAGTCTTGAAGTCCGCTGTTTCCCCCTTGGGTATAGTAGTAAGGGTAGAGGAGTAAGGGTATAGGATTAAGGGTACAGGAGTAAGGGAATAGGAGTAAGAGTATAGGAGTAAGGAAATAGGATTAAGGGTATAGGATTAAGGGTATAGGATTAAGGGTATAGGAGTAAGGTTACAGGAGTAAGGGAATAGGATTAAGGGTATAGGAGTAAGGGTATAGGATTAAGGGTACAGAAGTAAGGGTATAGGAGTAAGGGTATAGGAGTAAGGGTACAGGAGTAAGGGTACAGGAGTAAGGGAATAGGATTAAAGGTATAGGAGTAAGGGTATAGGATTAAGGGCATAGCATTAAGGGTATAGGAATAAGGGTACAGAAGTAAGGGTATAGGAGTAAGGGTACAGAAGTAAGGGAATAGGATTAAGGGTATAGGAGTAAGGGTATAGGAGTAAGGGTACAGGAGTAAGGGTATAGGATTAAGGGTACAGAAGTAAGGGTATAGGAGTAAGGGTATAGGATTAAGGGCATAGGATTAAGGGTATAAGAGTAAGAGTACAGGAGTAAGGGAATAGGA